CTGGACGGGGCGCGCCCGCCTGGACCGCCTCGGGCACCCAAGTCCTCAGCCCCACCGTCGCGGGACCGTCCGGCAGGGCCGTCTGCGCTGCGTGGAGCCCGAGGGTGGGGCCCCGGCCGCCTCTGTGAGGGAGGCCGCCTCTGTGAGCAAAGCCGCCTCTGTGAGGGGGGCCAACCCAGGGAGGGACGCGGGGTCCGGGGGGTGGGTGCCGCGTCTGTGACCCAAGCTCTGGAGCAGGCGCCCGAATCCTTTTTTTCTTTCTTTCTGTGTAAAGGGTATGTCCTCTGGGTTCCAGCTGTCGACAAGGAGGGTGGTGGAGAAATGGTGCCCATCCAGCAGGAATACATATTTTCACCGTGTTTTCTGGTTCTTGTGACCGAAAGAGCACTGGCACAAACTAAAGAAGAGGATCTGTGTGGGCTCACAGTGTGAGGCTATAGACTGTCCCACCGGTGAAGAAGGTGCGGCAAGAGCGTGAAGCAGCTGGTCACAGCCAATCCATAGTCAAAAGCAGCTCACTTCGCCCCATTCAGGCAGTCCTGCAAGCCCTACCCATTTATAATGCTCCTTTTCTCACCTGAACCCAGTCTGGAGACTCCCTCACAGACCTATCGTGAGGTTTGTTGCCTGGATGACTCCAGATCCAATAGAGTTGACAACATCCCACTCAGCAGATTACAGCCCTGAAAAGATCAAAATTAGTTAACGAAACTCAGTCCAAATCCATTCTTTTCCACCTTTCCGTTCTCATCAACTTTTTTCACTGCCATCTCAGCGTGTCCATAGGCCTGTGCTGAAGGACGTGTGTCTGAGTGTGTGTGTGTGTGTGTGTGTGTGTGTGTGTGTGAGAGAGAGAGAGAGAGAGAGAGAGAGAGAGAGAGAGAGAGAGAGAGAGAGAACAGCCCTCACAGGGCTTTACACAAAGCGTTCTGTGGGTCTGGTACTGGAACACAACACTTAGGTTGGGAGTCCAGTAGAAACATGCCAAAGCTGACGCTTAGGCCCAGGTCAAAGTTTTCTGAGAAGGTAATGCTTCCGTGTTGTCAGTTACCTGGAAGAAACGTGAGAGAAAGTACAAAGAGAGAGGAAAATGTTTTTTAGCGCAGAGTAAGCAGAGGTGGATGAAGAGGAAAATGAAACATTAAACCAGACTTTGAGGCTTTATTTAATGGTCTATCTTTAAGTGACAGAAAAATGACATGATCAAAATTGATTATTTAAAGACCATTCTAACAGTGTTGTGGAGGGTAGATGTTCTGGGAAGAGGCAGACACAGCAACACAAGTCATTTGAAGAAATTTACCAACACTGCAAGAAAAAAGAAACGAGACACCTGCATTAAGTATGGGAGAAGGGAGATCTTAAGAGAGCAGTGAAGTTATTGCCAGTCTCAGAGGGGACTGAGACACTAGGGTGTCTTGGATATCTGATAGAGGATGAACTGAGTCAATGGTGGTGGAATATATATGTATGTATGGAATACAAGAAGTAGGCCTGGGAAAGGAAGAGTTTGAGACTTACATGTGAGATTATAATGGGAAGTTTAGTTTGTAATATCAAAAGCTGCAGAAAATGTATACTGTATGCATACACACATACTTCATGGGCATTATAAATTGGAGAATTAGGAAAATATGTTTAAGAAAAACTTGCACATTTCAGAAGGAAGCATTTAGGGGGAAAAACCTCAAAAGGTAAAACAACTTCCAAAGGAAATGAGACTTGGGGGGCAAGTCAATGTTTGACAGGAGTGGGGTACTGAAGGATGGTCATCTAGGCTTGAGTGTCAGTAGAGAACAAGCAAGGGGTTTTAGGTAGAACAGCCTGGGGAGAAAATTGTTATTTGCCATATTCTAGAAACTGAGGTAAGGCTGGTATAATTGGACTACAGAAAACAAAACGATAATGTTGACAAGTTTAGAGAATGGGAAAAGCCAAAAATCAGTGTTTTGTGCATGGTTTTAAGGGAATTGAATTTTATTTTAAAGCTCTCGGAAACAAAGATCTTGATCTGGAATGTGATATATGGCTTACCACTTTAAAAGATATGAAAGTCTATAACACTTCTGTTGTGGAATTAACTAGAGGTGTGTTACTTTTGCTTATGCTGTGGAATCTTTAACTGTGTAACGGTGTGTTACATTTGTTTATACTGCTTTTGTTTAATTATGAAAAGATGTGTGGCTGTTTCACTTTGTCTGCCTAAGGCACCTGATTGGTCTAATAAAAAGCTGAATTGCAGAGAAAGGATAGGTGGAGCTGGCGGTCAGAGAGAATAAGTAGGAGGACAAATCTTGGCTCAAGAAAACAAGAGGAAGAAGAGAGGAGAAAACAAGGAAGAAAGAGGGGGAGATGCCAGGGGCCAGCCAGGCAGCTGCCAGACAGACAGACATAGACTCAGCAGGAAAGTAAGCTATAAAGACAGAAAGGTAAAAATCCCCAAGGCAAAAGGTGGATGAAAAGAAACAGGTTAATTTATAAAAGCTAGCAGGAAATAAGAGCTAAGACAAAACCAAGCATCCATAACTAATATTAAGTCTCTGTGTCATGATTCGGGAGCTGGTTGATGGCCCACAAAGAAAATAGCTGGTTCAAACGTCTATGTACAATCAATGCATTGCTAGTTATCTTGGTGTAGAAATAGGTTTGAGGAACACTCTTTACCATCCACTGACAGTATCTCACTTGGCATCAAAGGTTAAAGTTCAGGTCAGGTAATGGATTTATCCTGATAAAAATGTGGCTTACAACGTAGCACTAGAAGTTATGGGCAGTACAGACAACATATCCTCCAACCCCCATGTAGAAAACTGTAGATAGAGTATTCAATTTTCATCCATTTATTCAAAATATTTTTTCATAAATACATTAAACAATGTATAACTTTATATGCATCTTACAATAAAATTTTTAATTATATTACATGAAATCCATAGAAATTTTTGTGACAAAAATGTTAATTGCAAGATATTTTCATGTAAAACTAGGATCATTAATTTATTGAGAAGATTAATTTTTAAATGCTATTAAGAGACTCCTGAATTATTTTCATAATTGATGAAAATGAGCCATGCAATGGTGTTGACCCTTTTTAAAAAATCCTTATTGCTGTGGCATGAGAGATAACTATAGTCTAAAATTCAAAATATCCACCATGAAACCTTGACAACAAACAAATGGCTCCAACTAAATGAGTAAGGTTTGTTATTGGCCCTGAACTGGAATGAGCCAGGTAAGGAGACAGAGACCTATAACCTGAACATTTAGGAGGCTGAAACAAGATGACCCTGAGTTTGAGCCCAAATGGGGCTGCACGGTGAGAGTCTGTCTCAAACATAACCATAGAATTGCATTGCCCTGAAATCTCAGAGCTCACAAAACTCGTGACAGGTTTCACCGAATTTAGCAGTACTAAAAATTGATATTATAGTTAACAAACTGTGAAACTGAAATAAAATTTCAATAATTTAAAAAATGTTTGAAGAGATATCAATTTTGTTCATATTAAACAATGTATTACCAAAATAGTGTTGCAAATGATAGAGTAATATATATATGCATATATAAATTTTAAAATATAAAGCATTGTGGAAGATAATTAAATATTTTCTGAAATAATTTTTCTGGTATCTGTCATCCTTTCCACCAAGAAGCTATTTACAGTCAATAGTTGCTGGGAGAGGGAAAATCTGTTTTCTTCGCAGTGGGGTGACACTGGACATTCCAGGGTGCACTGTTTTGGTTTCTGGGTTTTTTGAGTTTTTTTGGGGGGGTGGTTTTGTTTTGTTTTTTGCTTGTGTTGTTTAGCTTGGTTGGGTTTTGGCTAGAATATTTTTTGAAGAGACAAAAAGAATATGAACTTAGATGGATGGAGAGTTGGGGAGGACTTGGGGGAGAGGAAAGAATATGCTCAAAATACATAGTACTAAAAAATTTTAATGAACAAATTAAATTTAAAAAGGATATAAAATATATTAATCAGACTATTCCAGAAATAATTTATAAGGTTTAAATTGTATGTTCTCAGTAATTTGATGGATTCTTGCACTGCTGAATCATTCATTCCTCTGTCCATTGTATTAATTTGGTATATATTACATGCCCTTTAATTATTTCATAGCTATCTCAGTGGCTAGATTGATAAGACAGTTGCCTTTATATTCAAGTGAGTATTATTTTACCAATAATGTTCCCAAAGCCCAAGAGCAATGATTCTGGAATTTTTATAATAGCATGTTCCTCCATTCTGTTTTCTGAATAGCTGTTAGTAGTAATCTCTTACTGTGTATTAATATCGTCATAGGTATGTATTTATAAGAAGAACATAGTGTATAGATAGGGTTCAGCACTATTCACAGTTTCAGACATCCACAAGGAATCTGGGACAGAGCACAGAACCTGCACAGATACAGGGGTAGAATTGCATCAGTGTGCTAAATATTTGAATCCATCAACTTAGGAAGAAAGTTTTGATGGCGGACACATATTAAATGCTAGAAATTAAGAATACAAACTGAGATGGGGGAAAGACTAGGGTTGCTGAAGCACATTTAACAAGAAGAGAAATGGTAGTCATTAGTAATGTGTCAATAGTGTCCATGGACTAACAAAGTAGAGGTTGGCATATGTAGTGGAAGTGTTCACATGGAAACAACGTGTTACAAAGAAAGACACTGTTGGAGGGTCAGAGGAATAAAAGGCCCAGGGAAGGGCTCATAGGGCAAGTGGGCCTAAGGAGACTTTTCCAACATGAAACGTTTTATCCATTGGAAAGCTATACTCCTTGCAATGACAAGACAAACACCAAGAGATACATATTATTTCATTATTATGTGATATATTAGTATATAATATTAATGGTATGTATTATTTAATGATTAAATATTTATGTTACACACATATAAATGAAACAAATCAATACAAATATTTAATGATTAAATATATATTTATATGTTACACACATATTTATAAATGAAACATTAATCAATACAAATAACAGCAATTCAATCCCACAGAAGCATAAATACAAGTGACTGCTTTGTAGATGAAGGATCTCTTATTCTTTTATAAGGATACCAAAAGGCATTAAAAGATTTTAGGTTCATTGTGATAATTTGGAAAGTGGCAATATGGGAAAGAAATTGGGAAAATGGTAGGAAGGACACAAGGTAAGAGAGGTAGACGTTTTTACAGTCACCCAGGTAAGATATTAGAGAGCTTTGCACAGACAGTAGTGTTCATGAAGAAAGAAAAGTGCATGTGGCTGAGATTTAAAAACCTGATAGAATGTAGATGGTATGAGAATGAGACATGAACAGTTGGCAAAACTAACTATTGACGTGGGCACCCTGTTGAATATAGAAATCAAGTTGTGTGGTTCCTCTGAGGAGGCACAGGAATCGGCTATAAAGGGAAAGATATCTAGAATGGAAGGGAACAGGACTAATGTTCCAACAGAAGCAAAGAACTGTGAGTCTAGAGCCCAGATGCTGAAGCTACAGGCTGGAACCCACACAGGGTCGCATAGCTAAATGTGGGGCTGAAAACAACAAGAGTAAAAGGTCTTTGAATGCACAATGACGAAAAATTCCTTCTTAATGAAGCATAGTCTGAGGTGTATCCACCAGTACTCACCCATGTTGAATATATAGCTTTATGTTATATAGAACTATCGAGTTCTGAACACACAGTATGTGCACCCTTCATGCCCT